TACTCGTAAAATGTTAGAGTCAATATTTTCTACTCCTTTAGAGAGAAAAAGATTTTCTACTTCTTCATCACCATCATTGTCCTCCACAGTACCAAGTGATGCATACATCAAATCCACTTGTTTAAACAACTCATCAATACCGCAGTTCACCAACTAGTGTGCAGGCTTAAGGTTAGAGCAATGAGCTGCTAAACGTACTATTCTAGGACATAGCTGTCTGTAACGTGATGCTGCCATCAACTTGGGATCCTCCTCATTTAGTATGACACTAGAATAAGGACTTGACCATATTCTTGCATCTCGCCTCCATCTCTGTATTATGTATTGGTCAGGAATTTGCTTAATTTTCATCGTGTCTAGTACTTTAAGTGCATGACCACATAATATCTCAATCATTTCAAATTTTCAACAGCTACAAAAAATAGTTTACTCATTGACATTGATCAACATCATGTACTTTCTCTCTTCATCATACAATTCCACCACAAATTCATGACATCCATCGAACACATTACAAGAATTCGCAATAGCACACTGGAATACATCATATTCATCTTGAAATAAATCAAAAATAGGAGGAGTGTAACATTGCACTACTTGCACCAACATAGGAGCTCTTTTCAACTTCATTCTAGGCAACTTTTGCCTAGCTTGATATTCCTTCTCTGTCTCCCTATATCTCTTGTCATTTAAAACTCTGTCAAAATGAGTAAAAAAGCAAACAATATCATGGTCTGGCTTTAAGTACTTTCGTAATGCTAAGTTCAAGCTCTCACTTAGTTGAGTGCTCCTTATACCAGCTGTGAAAGTCCGCTTCATATACACATGTGCCCATTTCTCTTTTAGTGCCAAAGTTGAATTCATCCAACTATTATTGTGCAAACCATACTCATCAAGCAACAATTTTCAAGCATCAACTAACTCATGCTTTTCCTCGTATCCATACATGCACTCTTTAAATTAGGTTGAAATTTTTGAACCATCCTTATATATGTTCCTTAAATGCTTTAAATTATTTTGGGAAAGGTGCCAACAGCATAACCCATGATATGTCTCTGGCATCACTATAGATATAGCTTTAGTCATTGCTTGATCTTAGTTAGTGAAAATGGTAATAAGCTTCTTCCCAGACATTGCTTGTAGGAATGTCTCAAACAACCACTGAAATGATGCTGCAATTTCATCGTACAATAATGCCGCACCAAATATCACTGTCTCCTTGAACTAGTTGAATCCAATCAAAATGCCTAAGGGTCAGTACTCCTTGTTTGGTCGGAATGTTGTGTCAAATGTGACAACATCCCCAAAGTGGCCATAATCAATAATCATCTCTGGATCAGCCCAAAAAATACTTGTTTTGCGCTCTTCGACATCCAATTGGACTCCATAATAAAATGATGGATTCGTAGCTATTTCTGCTTGGAAATATTACTACAAACTACCCGCTTCACCGTATTTCAAGTCTCGCTGTCTCCTTTCTCGAATGTAATTTTTTTGATCTTGATGAGTGAACCCTAAGTTTTCTCTCCCACCTGCTTGGGTACTCAAAAGCTCATAGGACGCCTTAAGTGATATCCCACAATCCTCAACAATATCAACATCGATGCCTTGAGCTACAGTAACTTTACGTTGGGATGACATCATATGCATACATCCACCCAAGTGTAAAATGTGATTGTGTTGGCCTTCCCATTTAACAACAACAAATTTTTCAATATCTCTTTTGAGGGATATGCACATGTAAGCGGGGCAATTTGTACGAGTCTCTGCCCAAGTCTTTATTGTTTTTCAAACCCTTTGATCTATACTTCTTTCTCCTTGTTTACAACAAACGTATTTTTCTGTAAATTAATACATCATCCTTCAAGCTCTTGTTGTAATAATCTTTTCTCACACTGAATCCCACAGTTCCACCATAATTATTATAGAACCTATATACATCTTCTTCCAAGTCAAATTGCATTCTCATACATGGAGTATTGTCTGCTTTATCAATCTTAACACATTCCATCTCCACTAAAGATTAGGTCCCCCACAATAATCGAACAGTTACACAAATTAAATATAAGATTAGGTCCGCATATAAATTTTCAATTACAAATGGAACAAGGAAATACTTATTTTTTATGTTCCCTATCAACAAAATAATCTTATGTATCAAAACTTATATAACTCAGTTTCACCAAAGCCTAAACACCAATATTCATATATCAAACAATCAAATATACTTACAAAAACGTAGTAGAAATAATGATGATAGTCTCATAATTATATCAATATCACAGACCCAATGTAATATATTATACAAAGAATTACAAGGCAATTGAAGGAAGCTGTGCAATGTGTTCAAGTCAAAAGGGTTTTTATAAACTACAAGGACACGATTCATATCAACAAGTATCATAACTTCCTTCCTCTGTGATTGTGACATAAGGTTAACGAAAATTTCGAACATAAAGTACCTGATTTCTGCTTTTTCACTCATATTTATGTAAATCAGGGAATCATTTCAGAGAAATTTAGAAAAAAAGGATGTGTTATTCTTTCACTAATAGCCTATATAACACTAGTGCCAGCTGTGAAGAGAAAACTCGAACACAAGCCCGCAACATGATAGCATCAAACATGACACAATCAAAGCAATCCAACAAGTTAATACACAGTTTGTTCCACCATAGAATAATACCACTTCCAACATGTCAAATGAATCCTACAAGACTGAACATTTCTGGCAAGTCATACTCATTTAAGAGAGGCTCATAACAATTTAAGAAGCACAACACTTCTAA